TATATATATATTGAAACATTTCCTTTTTATATTGCTGACATTAAAACATTATCTCAGTTAAATCATCCAATTAGTTTTCTTTTGTGTGTTGTATGGTTGATCAATAGTAGTGCATTAGGCTATAAAATTCAATAAGCCTGTAAATTCCAGGATTAATTATTCATTCTGGACTTGTTCCTCCTTGTCTGTGCAGCTGTAATTTGTGTGGAGGGTAATTTATTCTCAACACAAACATATATAACCAAAAAGAGTCCAGCCTCGTGCTGCGTCTACTTGATTTACTCCTCTAATAAATGTATGCGAGTTTGTGGAGTCAGGGGGTTGACAAGTAAATTGGATTTTGTGTGTCTAAGTGTGCAGCTAAATTGGTGTCAAGTGTTGAATGTGGGGCGCACTGCAGATTACAGTGTGTAAAAGAGGGAACTGAACTTGTTTGGCTGCTTGTGAAACTCCAAACTTGTGAGTGGGTGAGTGCCGCTGTGTGATTGGTGAAATAAATAAGATGTGATTGAATAAGGGCAGAGGCAAGTGGAAGGAAAGGCAAATGAGAGAGAGGGGGAGAAAAGGGAAGAAGAAAATAGGTATAGGCACTTCAAGAAGGAATGACAAAACATGTAAAAAATGTATTAAATCAAAATACATACATTTCTTGAAAGAACCAGTCACCTTACATCACCAAATAACAGAGTTGTGGGTGCTTTATGAGATGGCACTCTTAATGACTCTCTGCTATCGTACAAAAATTTAGCTCAATATCTGTAAAACTGAATCAGAGACAATTTTATGTTGGCTTATGTTGATTAGCTGCAGCAGTCATCTTAAACTGGATCGGCATCTTAGGGACTTTGCATTGACTTTTATTCATCTTCCAGTCATTTCTGTAGCCTACGCATGACCCTTTACCCTAAACCTAACCAAAACTCAATTCACACCTTGGTCCTAAACCTAAACACTGACCCAAAATCACCCTTTATATCCCTGAGGACCAGGCTTTGGTCCCCATGATGAGGAGCATTGGGTACCCTAAGACTGTTTGTCTTGGGCCATGATGTAGCAAATACACAAACACACACAAGTTTGCGCAGCTATCTAATTGGGGACATTCCATTGACTTCCATTACATTTCTACAGCCTAACCCTGACCACAAACACTAAGGCTAACCTCACAGGTACCTACCTGACCCTAAAACTAACCTAAACTCAATTCACTCCTTGGTCCTAAACCCAACCCCCAACCCACCAATGGCATTTAAACCAAATGGGGACTCAACTTTTGTCCCCAAATGTAGGCATTTTGTCTTAAAATTGCCCCCAAATG